CGTGTTGTTCGGGTCGCTTCAGGTGCATGTCATTTGTCCTTGAAACACATGGCCTGCGCCGGAAGCAGGGGCCGGACTAAAGGCTTGATGACGTCCCAGGGTAGGACGGACCGTACCAACCGTTGCGGAACGTTAAACTCCCGCCACTAAATTCTGCCGATGATCGGGAATCGCACGATCGGATGGTAGGGCTCAGGCTCACACAACATGCACTGCTTGACGTGGGCCATGATTTCACGCATCTACGCGTTGGAATCGTCCGGAGTATGATGCTTTTCTTTATGCCCTGGCTATGATATCTTTCTACAAAGAAGAAATTGACTTCTGGATGGTCATTACACACTGGAGAAAATACCAGAGCGGCACTCATCATTCAACGCCGCGTCATTAACTCTAGCCACCAACAGAAGGCTTTTGACAATCTTCGGGATCTTGCCATCCCAAGTTTGTTGCGCATCTTCTTTTGTTTATGCACCAGATACCGAACAAAACTCTGTGGTTTGATGGATTTCCCGCAATTGAGTAAACGTAAGAAAAAATGTGTTTGCGTGCGAGAAGCGTGTGAATGAGGTTAGGCTTTATCGCGTTGGCAATTATGTGTGCAAATTATCTGGTTCACCACGTGACCACCACACATCACCAATCGTCAGCTGTCATGTAGTCGTGCGCGGGTGACGCGCAATGATGCAAAGCGTGTTTTGATTTTAAGGCAGTATAGAAGGCGAGCCGCCTAATGTTCAGTAGATTCGTTGGACTCGTTGGATTCGTTGGATTCGTGGGTCGAATCAGTGGACTCCGAGCACGCAGAATATTCGCAGTAACTTCTGCTGGTTTGGCGTGTGAGCGCTGCGGTGTGGAGTGGACGCTAGTGGCAGTGAGGTCCGGCAAATAGAAGCTTTTGGGCTGGAGTATTTGTATTTAATTGACTCACGGGATGGTTTAGCACGAACGGAGTTGTCACTAGCATACCATGCCAAGCAGTCTGAAATCTACTACACACTGCAACCGTGCAGTACGGCCCAAGCCACTGAACTCTAGTCCCGCAGTCCGGCGCCAGCCATGGCATACCCCGACATCGACTGCACAGCAGTCCTGCAGTCCGGCACTTGTCGCGGGGATCCTCTCTTCTGATGACCAGCCCGGTTGTGACTTATACTAAGCACATTTTTGTGACATGCACCTGCAAGAAACGGAGTCATAAATGCATGTAACCATTAAACCCGCTCAGTGAATGGGGCATGGCAGCACAGCATCCATCCTTTTCACACAAAATACGCGGGTGTGATGCATATTCACGTTGTCCACTTACATTTTGTTCCTGCACTCTTCCATACTTGTACACGCACTGCCTTTAGCTTTCCTCGGCAGGCAGCGCGTCACAGTCTGGCCTCGCACCACGATCTTGCCGCAGTAAGTGCCCGATGCCCTCGTGCACTCCTTTTTGTCGGACTTCATCTCGCACTCTGCGGAGAGAGTTCAGCTTAGGCTCGAGTTAAGCATTTACCGTTATGCCGAGAGCAACAGTGGATATGGGCGTGCCATTTTGAAAGTCATCTCTCTGGTATGAATCATACGATAACTGTCTGTCGTTGGGGCTTTACGACGCACTCAGCTGCTGAGGTTATATGGCGTCGTCTGCCTCTCACCCTGGCAGGAAGGGCGGGCACCGCGGGGAATCGAACCCCGTATCTCTGGTTTCCCATACGCGCAGTGGTTAACGCAGACGCCTTAACCAATACACTGCCGGCACCCAATCATACGATAACTGGATGTCAGCAAGTGAAGCAGGGTGGTCAATTTCGACGCCGATTTATTGGCATATTGTGGCTATGGCCGTATCAGCAAAGCGCTTAGACAGCACCAAAAAAGTTCCTATGTTGCGCAGCAAGGAACATTATTCATAAAGATAAAACAGTATCAATAGCCTTATTCCTCGGAGAAAAACCAAGCGAATGGAGATATAGATGGGCTGATCTTTCGGCAACATCCCTTTATCGAAACAACAGCAGAAGTGAATTACTTTCCTTCTGCTATTGTTTCGATAACGTCATATTACCGAAGTATCAACCCAACTTTATCTCCATTCTCTTGGTTTTTCTTTGAGGAAAAGGCTATGACTACTGTCTTATCGAAAAGTAACCTGTGATAAGTAGCATGTGCCGTTCGCTGGGCCGCGTGGTATTAACCTGCATTTTTGTCAGAAGCTCGCTCTGACAGCAAAATGAGTATGCAAAGTTTGAGCTCTGGTTCGGACCCAATAGAAGCCAGGCTGGCAGCTGCCACGGCATATTGACATTGCTGCGGTAGGTTGTATCATGGCGTCGCAGTGTATGGAATGAACACAAAAGGACTAGAAATGATAACAAAATCATAAAAAGGCAATATTTCCGTTGTTCTGCAATTGGTGTCTGCATTAGATGTCTTCTTTTCTGGGGCTTTTGAATGCCCCTTTTTCGAGCAATGATAATATTGGTTCCGTTATACAGTGTAGGGACCATGCACACCATGATATCCTAAGAGAACAAGGAATGAGCTATCACGGATAAATGGTTACGAGAACGGTTCTTAAAATCGGTTAGATGCAGACAAATAGAAATATTGAGAATCGTGTCGTGAGGGGACAGACCCACTGCTCTATGATAGTATTGCGTTCATGCTACCCGCTCCCTGCTGCATGCACTCGTAGCACTGCATTCAAGAGGTCTTATGTTGAAGTTGCAAGCTGGAAGGCATATTGCTGAGAAAAAAGGAGGCTCATACTTCTTCAAAGGGGCATGCTACAAATCAGGATATATCACTTGTTTCTACGGTTGTAAACATACTTACCTGTTGATGGGTCTGTAGCATGTAAAGGGATTCAGGAAAGGTGGATAAAGTTTTACCTTGAAATTAGAGGACTAACGGAGAAAACGGATAGTCCGTCTAAAGAAACCCAATTTCAAATCGGCTAGAGAAATACGCCATATCGAGAAGCTGCCTCCCTTCAGCCGGCTAAAGTCCACCGTACGCAGTAGGTGTCACTATCATTCCACTCCAAAAAAATTGCAAATATCAAAGTCCAGGGCTTATGCGGTTTGAGAGCAGTGATATGAAAATATTGCATAATGCTAAAATAGTACAAATCATGACACCATAGAGGTAACTTACGCCATACATGTACAGTCTGCGGTAATCCATATGATGTACAACAAGTTTCGGATAAGTGTATGCGACGTTGGCAACTGAATGCCACCAGCGTTAGAAATGTATGTGTTTGGCTTCAGCCTCGCAAAATGAGAACTGCTGTTAATTCCCGCAATGCAATAATATTATAACGTTTTTTTCATACAATGCAATTCGCTAACGATATGGTTGCTATTCACGAATACAGAATCCTCCTTTTGTCATTAAGACGCGCCCGGGTGCCCGGCTAGATACCCTTTGCTCGGGTAGGGGTCAATTTGACACCCTGAGATCTCGGGAACTAAGGAATCTAGAGACACCAAATGCACAGAGTGTGTCGACCTGTACATGAACTCACTTAGATCAAAGTTTGAGGTTCCTAGGTCATGACCTTCGGGTCAAATAAGGTCAAACAAGATTAGATCCCAGGTTGGTCTCCAAAGTGCTCCCAGAAACTAGATAAATGTTTCTAAGCAAATGGGCTAATGCTCAGTTGAAGTCGGTGACCTCGTTTGATCCTTTGAAGGTCATGGTTGCCACAGTCATACTAGACCGCTGTGAGTTTTGCATTTGAATAAGCGACAAAGATTACTCTAGGCAGTATGTTCCTAAAATTAAACAGTTGACCTGGGTCACTTTAGGCTAATGACGTATTCTGACCTCTAAGAAGTCCATGGAAGATGTAGAATACGGTTCCTGCGATCAATAAACTTGAAATGAGCACCAGAAACCATCTCATACAGCAAGCCGTATGGTAATAAAACAGGTTGGTTTTGACCTTGGTCTGACCTTTAAGGCCTGACTTTAGGTCAACGTTATTTGCTCATTCACGATCTGTGTTACCTCAGAGACGTACGGCTTCAGTTCGCCTTACACTACGTTGTTGCATCAGATTGAACGATTCCCTAGAAATTGACTTCGCTGAAACCATGTTCACAGTTTGACCTGCCATAGGTCAGTGCCCTTACAAGGTACATCAAAGTTGTTGAGACCAAACGATTTTGAAATTCAAATGTCTACAGCCTTGCAAAATTTGGCGTCGCTGCACCGCACCGTTCGGAAACCATTCTGGAAAAACTTTGCGGGGGGGTGTAATTTGACCCCCACCCAGGCGCGTGTTAAAAATTGGGAAAATAGGTTACTTTTACTACTTACAAATGCAATAGGAGCTTTAGTTGGCGATTAACAAATACGAAAGGAGCCTTCTTTTGTTGCCATATATGCAAAGGTATCAGGTAACGCTGTCGTCCTGCATTCCGTCAGTGGAGGATGCTTTCGTAATGAACGCCTGGGAGTGAGTAACTGTATACTTACCAGCCAGCTGGCAGCTTCGTTCGAAATATGAGCAGCCTGGGTAGTTCTATAGATATTCTAAATTAATATGGTTTTGTCAATGCTACTCGGGACTTTTCTATTTCGGTTCACATATATTTCTGGTATCTGGCATGCTTAGCTGTGGATAACGCCTACAACTTGTCCTTTAATGGGATGTTTTTCATAAGATGTTGAAATTCATTATCGAATGCATATTTAACTAGAATAAATGCTGGATGACGGCACAAGGGTTGATTAACTTTTGACTTTATTCAAATATTTCTACCTTGTTTTGAGTTAATAAGTTTGACACAAATCTTGCGTGGTTCTGAAGTCAATTCTGATTTCGAATAGTATTACGCAGGACTCCCTCGTGCACAAATAAGTCCTTCAACAAATTTTGCGTCTGTCGTAGCACTGTCATGTCGCAAACCGTTCCAAAATTGTTCTAGTCATCGTCTCTAAGTTGTAGCACACATTGTAAACTGTTCGATTGCTGGATACGTTATGGTTCGACCCACCTTCCAGGGCGCAGCCATTCAGCTGTGCAGGACACGACAAGCCAGCAGTATTCTCATAGAACATTAGCTTGAAGAAGCGCGGATCTCTCTTCTCCAGGCCGGCGCAACCCAATGCCGCACACAGCAGCAGCACTGCTGCCATCTATGAACAGGACGGAGCATCACGCGGAGTAGGAGCAGCGTATGAGCAGCGTATATGGCCTCGTTCAAGAGTTGTGACACGCCTGGCTATAACCCATAGACTACCCAAAAAGCCGGGCTATGTCATGCAATGCAGCTCGCGTACGGTGTACAGGTTGTGATGCAACTACATGCCAAGACATGGATCGTTGAAAACCTGGGTTCATCAGCACCCGATCATAGGGGTTGAAATAAACAACTGCCATCAAGTGGTTACGTGACTTCTTACACTTGAAAATTGGCTGGAGGTGACTCCAGCATTCGACTCACCAAAATAGAGACGTGGGTCACATGATTCTCGCAAAACGACGATGGCAAGACCGTGGCTGAAATGACTGAGGAATACGTACTTGCTTGAATAGGCAAGTTTTCGACAAGCTCTTGCGAGTGACCCTTCAGGGCGGTCGCCAGGTTATGTTTGGTGACAAATTTCCAAGCCTGACATCAGATGCCGAGACGGGTCCCCAAACCTGACATCAGCGACCGGGGTGAGTCTCCATGCCTGACATCAGCAGCCGGGGTGGGTCTCCGTGCCTGACATCAGCGGCCGGGGCGGTCTCCAACCCTGACATTTGCGACCGGGGCGGGTCTCAGAACGCAGTACTTACGGTAGGCAGTGAGCAGGATCGACGCGCCATGCTAGCTACAATGACGCGAGCAGCCGTCTCAGGTCCAGTGCTCAGACTCCTCGAGCGCGCGATCTTATAGGCCGCCGAGAGAAAGCCCTCGGGCTACCGGTGGCACCGGCCAGCACGTCTCCGACCGGGCTCGCGATAACCACGGCCTCCTTGGAGTGAGGAGCGAGAGGCCCTGAAGGGGAGGGACAGAGGAGACGAAGGGGTGGGCAGAGCGGAGGGAGGTGGCCGTGCCCAGGGAGCCGGTAGGGGTGGCGCAGCAGGAGAGGCAGACTGAGGAGGGAGAAATAGTGTGCATTCTCTCACCAACTTTGGGCGAGGCCCCTTTTCGCCAACTCAAGGCACGATAGCTTCACGTGGAGTAGCAAAGTTCAGATCAAAGCGGTCTCCATAACTAAGCTAGAGTAAAAAATCGGGCTAGAAGACCGTTTGCCACATCCAGGGAACAGTTCTGCGCCTTAGATCACCTTCCTTTATGAATAAGGTAGCCAATACTGGACATCAGGGTGCCTAATTTTGTGTTATGTTAAGGAGGCTTCTTTGTTGGCTTGGGAGGACCCCGTTACAAACTAAGAGACTACTGTTCTGGATTCGGATGCACCATGTATATTCAAGTCACACATTTTTGGAACAGCAGACCCTTCTCGCGCATCAGATAACCGCAGTTACGGATCAGAATACGATTTTGTGGAATAACGAGACCCCTTGGCTATATGTTAAGGGCTCCTTATAAAACGAAAGCATCCTGTTCCGGATAAGGTGGCCTCTCTATTCATCGGGAGGCTCTTTCATGAAGCAAGAGGTCCTGTTTTAGGTAAGCGAGACACTGCTAGATAATTAAAAGGCCCCATCTAGGCTGCTTAACTTTCCACATTTATTTACTTGGATATTATAAATGTCACAGTTTGAAAAGGGAACACATTCCACCGGTGCCTCTCCCCCGTTAATACAGCGTTTCGCAGAACCCCTCCCCGTGAGGAAGCGCCATTTTTCCTAGTGGGGCCCAACTGAAAAATCCTATCCCAACTCAAAACCTTTGCCCATAACAACCCACACAGGTCTTAGGTGTTTCAAAGCCTTGGAATGCATCAATAAAATAACTGAGCCAAAGGCGGTTTTAAAGTTCATTCCCCTCATGCATCGTCGCCCGGCTGATGTCCCAACTTCGGAGGGAAGACGGCCCGCCGCGGCCGCTGAGCCGCCGCTGTGCTGACAGCTGACAGCTGAGCCGCCGCTGTGCTGACAGCTGACAGCTGAGCCGCCGCTATGCTGACAGCTGACAGCTAAGCCGCCGCTATGCTGACAGCTGACAGCTGAGCCGCCGCTGCTGACAGCTGACAGCTGAGCCGCCGCTGCTGGCAGCTGACAGCTGAGCCGCCGCTGCTGACAGCTGACAGCTGAGCCGCCGCTATGCTGACAGCTGACAGCTGAGCCGCCGCTATGCTGACAGCTGATAGCTGAGCCGCCACTATGCTGACAGCTGACAGCTGAGTCGCCGCTATGCTGACAGCCACCGCGTTTTCCTCACACCCATCACATTCACGTCTTGAATCCTTGCAGTGACTGCCTCACAGCTCAGAGGCAAAGCCAGTGCCTTCACAAGAAGGGGGAGGGGCACAACGTTGAGAAAGGCTCCTAAAAAATAACTTACTTGATATGGCCCAGTTGTATCTGTTGGGCACAATCTTTGGTGTTCTATGTTTGGTTGTGCCCATAACTGGAACAGATAGGAACCACCACCGGGAATGCAATGCGGTTTGTATTGTGATTTACTGGCACCATTCATTTCACGAAGTTTTAGTAGACTCTTTTATGAACCATCAATACGCAGAGGTTATGCCAGGATCGTTCCCGGGTTCTACAGAGATAAAAACCCTGTGCACGTAATGGTAGATCAAAATAGGGCTAAACATTTGCATTGATATGGTCAGCCCATGCTCGTCTGCAAATCTCCAACATTCAGTCAGAATCTATAAGGGAGAAACATTATGTAACAAAGTTCTGAGCACGTGCGTTCGCAAGTCTAAAAACAAAACCGCGGGGCTCGGCGCTGCAGTTCCGTAAGCCACGTGGCATCGACCACGCGGCGACCACACCTAAGCCACGTGGCATCGACCACGCGGCGACCACACGTAAGCCACGTGGTATCGACCACGCGGCGACCACACGTAAGCCACGTGGCATCGACCACGCGACTCACACTAAACGGTGGTAAACAAGCGGTCAAAAATGATGGCACCTCTGAAAGAAGCACTTTTGAACACCTCAGCCAATTCATGTGTTGAGAGGGTAGTCAGGGCGCATAATTCCCCTGAGCGTCTTTAAATTGATGCCAGATGAACGGAAAGAATAGATTAGCATCTACAGCACTGTAGACTGGTGCTGTCTGTGGTGGTAAAACTGGAAGAGTAACAACAGAATATTCATTTTTACGTGTTACTGTAGCTGTTAATATGTCCAAAGGACGGCCGTAAAATTATGACAAGATAGGCTTATTCTTACCTTTGAGCGGTACCAATTGACTTTGGAAGGCTTTCGGAATGGCTATTTGATGACGGTCGTTCTCGCGCGCCCGCCGCCCACCGCCCGTCGTTACCTGCAGCAGCCAACTCCACTCGGTTTTCCGGCGGCTACAGCCCCAGCCATCGCTCTACTTACTCCTGAGACGGCAGGTGCGCAGCCTCCAAACGTGCTGCGCCATTTGTTTTACTAGCCGGTTCTTGAGCAGAATGGACGTTGGCAGGCAAAGATGAGTTGGCATTTTTACCTCCTCTCGATCCACTGTATTGAAAACTTACGAGACCCCTTCCTTTTCCCGGGAGAGCGGCACCGTAGACCACTAGGAGGCAAATTGTCCTTCGCTATCAGCACGCCTGCCGGCTAACCCTCCTGGCGACACGGGGCGAGATCCACGCGTCGAGCCAGGTGTCTTTTGAGGATATATTATACGACTCCCTCCCTGACGCGGGAGGCCTTCTGACCCGCGCAGCCGGCCCCGAATCGACGCAGAAACACGCAACGACACAACAGGATATCTGCTTCACATGCGGGGTTAAGTTCGCCTTAAAGGGTTCCTGGCCGGAATGGGGTGAAATGCTTTTTGTTCGGCACTGGGGGCCCTGATCAGCACAGGACCCTCTCATTGCCTCAATGTAGAGTCTTATCGTAAGCTCTCATCTTTCCTTTCGTTGCCATGCTGTTCCAGGCGTCTGCAATCGTGCAAGAGTCCCTTTGACTGGCATTTACGGTGAGTCTTACGGGCGGGAGCCTTATAGCCAGCCCTTAGAGACCTTCAGCCTTCGAATCGAGCCCTGATCTTTGGTGCTAAAGCGCCCTTGAGGCCCCTTGTTTGGGCCCCTCAAACACGGCTCCCGGCCGCACCTGGGTCACGACGCAGGACATCCTGTTAGGCGCTGCGATCTCCTGACCGGCTCAGGGCCTCCATTGTTTCAGGGACCGCGACTAATGCACATCGCGGGTTGAGGTCTTGTTCTTGCTTGGAAATGGTCTGCCAGGACTATGACCGACACGAAGCCGTCTATTCCGTGTTGGTGGTCTCTTGCCAACATAGAGGCCTACACTTTACCAGAGGCTCACAATAGGTGTAAGAGGCTCAAGGACTGATGTTTGAGGCCACGACCTTACGCCCCCGGGGCCGCAACAGGTTACAACCACCCTTGGAGTCCGAAGGCCTTCCGGTTGCACCCTCGATGCTTGGCCTCGAGGAGCCCTTGGGCCCCTCTCCGACCACCTCGAACATATCCCCCAGCCGACTCGGCGCTTCTTTCCGACGCATGACCCCTGTTAGAAACTGCAGTCCCCAGACCAGCACACGGGGCCCCCATTCCATATGAAGCATAATGAGCATAGAAAACCAGTATCCGGTTAGGAAAAACTCTGCGTCTTTTAAATGTACGGCGCATTGGAATATGCATGAAAAAGCATATACATATAATATCCCGCAGGCCGGTTGTTTCTTGCTACCGTACCGTTTTAGAGGCCGGCCCGGTGGAGTTAAGGGCAAACTTCCCGCTTGCAGTCCAGCCCGGACAGCAGCACCCTGCCCGCTTGTAGTCCAGCCCGGACAGCAGCACCCTGTCCGCTTGTAGTCCAGCCCGGACAGAAGCACCCTGCCTGCGTGCAGTCCAGCCCGGACAGCAGCACCCTGCCCGATTGCAGTCCAGCCCGGACCGCAGCTGCCGCTGCGACTGATGCCAAACTGTCCGCAGCTGATGTGATTTGCTGACGCTGCGGCTGCCGTGGCGTGCGTCAAGGGCGGCGCGGCTGCTGCGCGGAAGGGTAGGACGCTTCTGCGCGGGGAGGCAGG